GCAGTGGAGAGTGACACTATATTATCACTGGTCGGTTTCTATTTTCTATCAATTAATTACAGGTACATAAGCACAGGAATATAAAAATAGGAACCATGCATCAACAGTTTAAGATTGTTTTAGGAAAAAWTTGGTATCTTTTGGTATGCTGGATTCGCTTTTATAAGAAGATTTCACCAAATGATACAATCAGAGTGCTGCATTCTCTTATTTTTTCATTCTTTCCCTAATTACTATAAGCCAAGCAGATTTCTCAGAACTACAAAAACAAAACACAAACCTTTGGGAAAAATGCAGTAAAAGACAGCTCTGATAGTAAAAAAATTCTATCCTTACATTATCAGATTTGCTGGCTACCATATTTAAACATCAAAATCCATACACACTTTTGTCTAGTTTTCTTCTAAGTCAAGCTTTCGTCCTAAGAGTCTGCTGGTTTCTCTTGTGGTGTTTGTGGCTCAGGGTCTGTTTGTTTGGGAGCTTCTTCCTTCTGTAGGAAAATGAATTCATGCATCCATCAATTATCATTTATTTGCTCATCCATTCTTTCATTTATCTATTTATTCATCCTATTTTTCTATTGTTATTCATTCTTTCAACCATTTAAATTGATAAAACAATTCAGTTTAATATCCTGATTTATAAATTTATTCCTCTATTGGTTTATCAATCCATACAATCATTCTTTCTTTTCAATCATTCATTTTTCTATTTATTCATGCATCCCTTAATTCATTTTTCCATTCATTCATTTTATCTATACAGTCATTCATCCATTTATTTAATCAATCATTCATATACCTTTTCATCYATTCTATCAAAGCTGCCCATAGCCTATGTAGCAACTATAGGGGAGAGGGGAAAGGGGGGAAACTCTCCCCCCACTTCCCTTCTGTTTCCTCCCTTCTCCCTCCCCTACAGCTGCGACCCAGATTACTATCTACTAAGGTACCTTATCATTCAATTGTTCTTTATCTTTTCTAAAAGGTGGGCCCCTCCAGAAAGGTGGRCCACTTGGTCTGTGTTTATGACCATCAAAGTGTGGGTGACGATAGTGCCTTCTCCACCAGAACTGATGTCGACAATTAGTATAACCTGCTCCTATTCCTATTCCAAGACCAAGGGTTATAGGCCATGCTTTTCCTAATAAAAACATCGCTTGTTATAAAATGACTAGCTCTGATTGGTYGATGGTTGTGTTACTAACATGTCATGCAACATGATATTTTAAGGTCTTTCTTTTTGTTGTACAACACTCTTACACTGTAGTGTACACAATGCCTAGCGAAGTTCAAGTTTGACTGGAGAAAATATATTTTTTCATTTGAAATTTTGACCAGATATTTTCCAGAGATTGGCACTTATCCATCCACTCAGCTCCCCCTTCTTCCTGCCTGCTGCATACATAACATAAACCTAGGGTATTTTTTTTTATCAATTCAACAAATGAAGAAAAAAATGGAGAAAGGCAGCTCACTTGAACAGTCTTAATTTTGTGAACTTCTCAGACTGTCCTCTTGTGTTTTTTTCGTATTTCTGCATGCTTCATAGGTTGATTTAGCAAACATGCACATAGCGTAATGAGCTGCGGTTATCGAAGGGAGAGTGACTGTGACGACGTATAATTTTAGTCCTGGAAGGTTTGGTTCAGGGCCCGGGCGCAGGATATGCCTCAGTAAAAATAGTGCATATATCAATAAAACGCAATATTAGTTCAGCTTATAATTACACGTCATTTAATCTATTTATTCAGACCCACAATACAATACTTACGCTTGAAAAAAATTAGTGAAAAAATGCTTCCAACTAGAGTTCCACTGGCTGTAAAAAAATAACACAAATTACAAACAAGAAAGCAAATAAACCAAAAAACACAATAATTTCAGGTGTATCTATTATCTGCTATTATATCTAAAGGTCTAACCGGCTTTTATTGATGTATCCACGAAGCAACGATCCCAAATTCTTCCAACTTCTTCTTCACTTTTCCTWATCGGCGCCATTTTGKAAATTATGCGCCTCACTTCAAAGTATCAGCGGATTTTACCTACACAGGAAGCCCAAGRATTATTTCCAAACAWTTTCACAATCATATTTTGCTTTTTATCAATACAACACATGCACGATAGAGTAAATGATTCGGCATCTTTTATTAGATCGTTTAAGAGATTTGATTTATAAATGAGATATGAATTTTGCCTCGAGAAAAATTTATTTGTTTATTTTCTATTCGAAASTTTCAGAAAAATCTTAATMAAAAGAACTGAATATAATTCAATTRTCATTATAAAGAAGAAATATTAAAAAATAACATTTAAATAAATTAGAATAAATAAATAAAAATATATAGATCGGTCAGTGGCAGCCCCCATTTTAGCATGAGTACACAAGACCCCCTGCATCGCCTCATGTGGTCCTCTTCCCTTTTCTTTCCGAAGCCATCATGCCGGTGGTAAGAGCTATGTTAACTAAAATCGCTTTTTTTCTTACTTAGATATCCTAAATGTTAYCAAAAAGGGTACCGAAACATAGATAAGACATTTATTGAAACAACTGATGCCTTTATATCTCCTTTAAATTACATTTTGAAATAAAAAATTGCTCGCGAAAATTATAGTAGTGCTGTAATTGGACGAAATTGCAATTTTGTTAAGCCAGAATAGCACGATTATATGCACTTTCCCATCATTTTCTCAGTTTGTTTAATWTTATGAAATACGTCAATGCCGTAATTTGCTGTTTCGCAAATTTCTGTCGACTTWAGTRTTGTTTTCGTACTTAAAATATATAACTGCAWGTTTATAAKTYCTTTTTYTTTCCACGTGTGCAAAGTTTGTGAGCTGATCGACATATAACATATAAACAGAAACACAAGAAGATAGCTGTATTTGTGTAATAATGATATTTAATGATGTGATTTATTCTTAGAAATCCAAAAAGAAGCAGCAAAAGAAGAAAACTCAACTGAAGTTCTCAGTTGACTGCACCCATCCTGTTGAAGATGGAATTATGGATGCTGCAACCTTTGTAAGTAGAAAAAATACTTATAAACATGGCATAAGAACTAAGTACAATTTTGAAATAGTGATTTCTTAGTTGTTAGTATTGTTGCAAAATTGTTATTGGCTTTGTATTGTAGTTGTAAAAAACGTTGTTATAAAATAACTACAAATATGAAGGTGACTTTTTAATGGTATTCAATGGAGTACTTAACATGGCATTTGATTACCATCAAACAATTTATCAAACAGCATTTCTTTAGCTTTCTTTTTTGATGTGCTTTGTTTGAAGCCATTTGGCAATTGAAACTTTGCTTGATGATCCAGCTAGTTTAGATCACCCAGCTAATGTTTAATGGTGTTCGATAATCCAACATATCTTGTTCAACAAGGGCTTGAGGCACAGGCCTTATATAATATCGGACAGGGACTTTACTATTTTGATGCATAACACAGGTCCCTACACTTAGGGCTATCTTCCCTAAGTCTGTATTCCTCTTCTATCTAACAGGAACAGTTTCTGCATGACAAGATCAAAGTTCAAGGCAAAACTAACAATTTTGGAAATGACATTGTAGTTGAACGACAAAAGAACAGGGTCACTGTAGTATCTGACATCCCATTTTCAAAGAGGTGTGTTTTCAATGGTTAAATATTAAAAATTATYATTTCTAGGAACAATATGCGCTTTTTATCTACATTTACTTTCCTAGAATTTTTTTGAGATGACAATGCAATGGAAATGAAGTATTTAGTTAGTATTTGCTGGTAAACAACGAAAGAAAACTACAATAGATTCAGAGTTTGATACAAACTATGTCGCTAATCTTTCATTGTCAAATAAAACGACTATAAAATTTACACTTCTTTCATTATTACCTTTAGGTATTTGAAGTATCTCACCAAGAAATACTTGAAAAAACATAACCTCCGTGACTGGCTTCGTGTGGTSGCTGCCGACCAGGGCACCTACGAGCTGCGCTACTTCCAAATCAGTAACGAGGAGGAAGATGACGAAGGAGAGGATGAATCGTAATTCCAATCTTTGTAGCTTGTAAYTATGGTGAATTAAAATTTACCTTGGCAAAACAATGTGTGTTTGATGTGTCTCTCGGGACCCACTCTCTCGCTTACCTCAACTTGTTCACAGTTGTTTCCTAGTCACACCTAGAAGTGTTTTTCTGTGTAATATGACCAGAAACAGCTGTGGCTTATAAACCAGGATAGAGTCCATTTCGTATGAGTGGGAAACGGATGGTACTGTACTGTGACCWTAATCGTACTGTAACCAAATTCTAGTGTCTCATTGSTTCACAAAAATTGTGCAGGCCAGGTCCGGTARCTGTSCGRTAACCGTGCGGTAATTTCTACCGTACGTKTCCCACTCATACGAAATTGACTCTATGCATAACACTCTAGATAGTCACAAGCTAAATGTACRTGTATATAAATGTATAGAGTGAACAAACTTAATCCGTGCAAACTGTACAAAATCTAAGTAGTATTTATTTGTACTAAAAGTGGACCTGAAGCAAGATGGTATGAATACTTCATTTGAATCAATTCAATTTAATTTGTGTACCGCATGCACGATTTACTAAATACAACTAAATAGAACTATTTACTAGTAGTTTGTACAGTTGCACGGCTTAAGTGTGTTCACTCTATGAATCAACTGAGAATAACAGCTGCAGATTTTGTTCAACTGTCCAACTTCCTACAATTTTCCAAGATGGTTAAACTGAGGATAGCAGCAGAGAACACTGTAGCACAATACAAGTATCCTGGTTTGACTCAGCCCAAAGACCCTTTTCAGTTAAATGTGAAACAGTAGCAAGGTAAAACCTGTAGAACTAGCTCATTGCAGGACAGTCTGGGGTCTTCTGCTATTTTTCCCTGGGGGACACGAAACAAAAGCAMTGCTAAATTGCTCAATCATGTAAAAAGCTACTGAAGACACATCAGTAGGCAAGCACTTTACAGCCAAATAAAGAAATAATAAGTACCTTTAATAATATTTTCCCAGCATAATAATTATATGATAAGTTTCATTATTGCGGTATAAATGATTCAAGAAAATTAGCTATAACTATTTTCATAAATTATTAAGTTTTTGAAGACTTGAAAAGTTCAATCATATTATTATTAATCATGAATAAGTAAAGAAATCGAAATTTTAGCTGGATTTCACACGAAATTGTCAAGGCCAGTTTCCTTTTCTTCTATTAAATGTATACAACATAAGTACTTGTACCTTGTCGTACTACAGAAATTTTTTAGTTTTTTCTTGTATTTTTTACCATGATAACCAACTCCCATGAACAGTGCCATTCATGTTGGCAGTACTGATTGCTAAAACCTGTACACATCCTAAAACATGCATTGTACCTTCAATTTTATCYGAAAAAGATCGAGTGTGTTGATTGCCAYACACTACATGCCATTATTTTATAAGCACTCTTTTCTACAGAGATGTTTTATAATATTTTAGTGAAAACATGACCACAGCATCTTGTCCTGTTTTTACATGGTTGAAGATGAGCTGCCATAGATGTTGTTTGCTGCTTTGTTCAGCTGCTCCAAGAAGATGAACGTGAGGACAGTGTGGGGACCAAGACGGAAGTAATATGGCGTGAATCCCTTCCATAGAGCAAACAGACCTTCTTTACGGATAACACTGAGGAAAACATGCTGAAAGATAGAAGCTGACATGTTAGCCTGATTAGCAAGATGGACGGACAGACAAACAGAGAGAAGCATAGATGGACAGACAGACAAANGAACGATAGGTGGACAGACAGACAAACAGTGAGAAGGATAGGTGGACAGACAAACAAACAGTGAGAACGATAGGTGGACAGACAGACAAACAGTGAGAAGGATAGGTGGACAGACAGACAAACAAACAAAGAGATGGATGGGTGGACAGACGGACAGCATACTTACAGTTGCACCTCTGTATTCTGGTTTACCATCAATAATTTTCATATTCTGAATTCTGAAGAAATTATTAAACACACCAACAAAAATCAATACAAAAAAAATAGATAAATAAAAACCTGAAAATAATATCAGTTGAATCAAATATATCAATCTGTTATAAGAGACTTTTGTTTTTATATCTACTATAATTGTATTCTATACCTTGTTTTCGCAATGTCAATTGGCATGGAAGCAATAGTTGTTGCTAGTCCACTAATCATGCTTGCGCCAAAATGACATAGTATATTGTCCTCAAAGTATTCTAAAGAAATTAAAACACAATTATAACTGATCATGCTCGAATCACTTTACAAAGCACTCTTGTCATCCCACATTGAATATGCGTAAAGTAAAATAGAACCACTCTTGGCTGTTCACTGAAATCAGTTGACATCCTGCATTGGTCAATGATCAGGTTTCAAACCTGAGACCTTTTCTAGGGTCATGGACCTTTATATCTGATAAAGGTCACCCTTATTAGTATATAAGAATACTAATAAGGAACTATGTGTTTTATCAGATATAAAGGTCCATGCATGTGACCAAACAGGCTCATTCTATTGTCCTAGTAGCTCATTAATTATGTATGAGTTTTTGAAAATTATTAAAACTGCAAGAACCTTTGACCATTTTTTTATATGCACTATGCTTTGTCCTTACTTGTAGATAGTAAAAACTGCTTCGCTTGTGAGTAGGTTGCAAGTTGTGCCGCATTGACTACCATAGCTCGAACTACTGTTGGTCCACATCCCTGGTAAAATAAATATAGTTAATGCTTTAAGGCTRATTTACAYGGTACGATTTGTYGCGCGCGACTTGTAGTATACGATTTTCCTACTACAAGTTGTAGGATTTTAAGCCGTGGTTCAAAATCCTACTACAAGTCATAGGTTGCGTACGGCTGTTGTAGACAAGTTGTAGGGACATTTACACTGCGTGATTCAATTCGTATACTACAAATCAATCGCACGAGACAATCGTGCCGTGTAAATCAGCCTTTAGTCACAAAAATCTTTATTATAAGTGATGTTTCTATCATGCAGCAATGTGCATCAAAAATTGAAACCCTGGAATTATTTTCACAATTTCATTTCTGGCATTGTGTTCATCATGCCCCAGCGAATTCTTAGTTAGTTGATGACTAAAGCTTATTAGTTGGCTAAAAAACTAAGTATTGGTTTATTAGGCCAAGCTTTCTTGTCTTTGGCACATCTTCAGRGCGAAGAAATTGTTTGATATTAGTTTGAGATCTTCAGAAGTTGTACTTTAGTAGCATGTTTATTCAGGCCTTGCTTTATATAAGTAAGATTTATTGAGTCAGAGCTTTCGCCGTCAATGGCATCATCAGAGACTAGTTGTTGATGATTAAGAATTGTTTCACACTTTTGTGGTGTGCACTCCAGTAGCACTTACTCTCCATAAAGTCAAGATTCCTTCCTCTTTTGTAATTCTATACAAAGCATTAAAAACACTGGAGTAGTTCCTTCGCTGTTCTACGGGTAACCTGTAGAAGATTCCATTCTTCATTGACTTATCAAATGTAAGTAAAACATAGAAATAATTACAAGATTGTAAATCACGGAATACTTATGGAAAAATTAACACCATTTTTATCATGTGAATGTGTAATAGTCTCCTTCATGGTTCCCTGCGCCATTTTGAACGGTAGCTGTGCCTTTGAAGCAAAGCTGACAGTTGAGTGTGCAATGATAGAAACCTTCTTTCACACCTGCAGACAATTATTCACAGGTTTCTATCATTGCAATGCTTGTCTCGCTTTGATGTAAAGGCACAGCTACCTTTCAAGATGGCACACGTAACCGTGATGGAGACTATTATAGCTGTGTTCTTCTTTCAGTTCACGTCTGTATAAAATAATGTATCACTTTCAGGCAAGGTCCCACGACCGTTCTGTGTGCTGCCTGCATATGCTGCAATGATGCAAGTCATTGCATTCATGTACCGTAATTATTCAATGAACTATGTAGTACCTTCCATCTGAGGTCATTCTGATCAAGGAGATTTCAGCAGGRGTACCAATGAAAGAACCTACAGCACCAGAGGTCATTCCTGGAAAGTAACAAAGTATCAATACTCCCCATTCTTTAGCCAAAGCTAAAGATAAGCTCTGAACTTATAAGGGTTAGAAGATGCACAAAAACACCAAAACGAGGCCAGGAGGGCCGCAGTAAAGAATTTCATACAAATCTTTGTATTTTCATTCCTCCATAGCTTTGTTAGTATTTAGTCTATATCTTCAAAATTTTGCACCATTACTTATTTCTTCTTATTTTCTATAGTTCTTCAATGTGACAGTGCTGAATGTTTCATTAATATTGCCGATCATATAAAATCGATAGTAGGAACTTGTGAAAGTGGTCTATTGTTAGTTGGATTATTATATCAATGCTGAGTGCATGAATTTATAACCTTGTTAGCATTGTACATTTTACACGTTACGTGTAAAATGTATGTACAAGCACAGAAACATTCCGATCAGCTAAGTAATACCAGCATTACCTAAACCAGCTTTCTTGTGGAATTCTAGTGGACTTCCATCTTCACTATTTAATAAAACAAAACATATTACTTGCAAACTAAACTTAGTATGTTCAAGGAATGAAGGAGTGTAAGGAAACTCTACCGTCCCTTCAAACAAGACCTGAAACTTGCACTCTTATCGTACTAGTAGTATAAGATATGTTTAAATAAGGATTTGTACTCACTTTTTAAAGTGGTTTAAAAGTGTTGTATAGACGCCTAATCTTGTGGTAGTATACGTTGCTTGTCGAAACAGTCCAGCTGATAACCTAAAAGTCAAAATATAACGTGTAATCAACCCAAACATAAGATAATAAGAAAGTTCTACATAAAAGACCTGATTGGCTGATGCATTGCCATGCACGTTACCACCCAATTCAAATCCTGGGAGAAAGAAATTTTATTGCTAAGAATTCAACTGTGAAATACAACAAACAATKAAACTTACTCCCRGGTGGTTTGMATTGGGTGGAAACGTTTATAGCAAAGTGCTAGCCATTTAGGTCTACATTATCATAATAGTTTGTCATGCAATATTTGCATATAATTATCAGTAGTTAATAATCAATAATCAGTTGTCAATACCCATTATAAACTCCAAAGAAACCCTCTTTTCGTAGGATTGACATAACAGCGTGAATGCTACTTCTGTGTTCCTTGGCTGCACCCCCAATACCTGATTTTGTGAAAAAATTGAAATTTTAAGCTAGTACCCACATCAGTTAGTCTTCTTTGCAGCCTCTTATGGCTTGCGGTCCATCCCAGAAAGCCTTTCAGGGGAGGCTGCAAAGAAGACTAGTAGCCACCAATCATAAACTGAAAAAAAAAACTTGAAAAAAACAAGAACATACCACTCATCTGCATTCTGTTTTTCACAAGATCTAGTGGTTGGACGAATACAGTTGCACCCATTCTAAGGAATAAATAAATAAAGTGTTAAACAAATATTTCAAACATACCTGCTCTGCTAGTGGCATCAATCGATGCATCAACTTTAGATAAAGGTATGGAATTGAAACCTTACTTATCTTTGTGTCATGTGGTTTGACAATGACATCAAAAATTGCAGTGCATTTCGAATAGAAGAATATTTCCTTCAGTCGCAGCAACAAATGTTATCTACCAGGTACATAAATAATCTAAAAAAAGCTGAACTGCTTGGAGCTAGATGCATGGGGTTGTCCTTGTCAAGCTGAATATGTGTGCCCTAGTCAATATCCTAGCTACACAGCTTGACAGGGCATAGTCCATAGCTTGTTGATAATGGCATTTCCATAGGTAGTACAATTTCTTGTGTCATAATTCTCAAATTTAAACATTTGTAATTAATCAAGGATAATTTTTCCTTAAATTAATTAAACTAAATCAAGTCACAGCTGTTTTCTTTTGATAGTAGCTAGAGCACTTTAGACTGTAAGCTTAATTATGTTAGTAGACAACTAATGAGATTCCGTAAGTTATTATTAAAATGCTACGTGTACAAAATATTGAAAAGTTGAAAAAATATTGTTCTCTTCATTTCACATGGCTAATCTCAAAACAATGTGCGAAAAAACAATTCGACAATTTAATTGCATGTAACTTAAATACCGCCTAAATTAATAGCACATCATTTGGTTTCAGGTTTGAACTATCATCAAACAAACAAAACATGAACATCCAGTGACTTCAACAAAAAATATTGGCAAATGTCTGGTGTTTCGAGCTGGAAATTTGCAATTTTTGAAGCAATAAAAACATACGATCTCTTACCCTGCCAATCCTCCCATTATAAACCTCGCATAGTTTGGTATTTCTCCTTTATTCTGAGTCATCTTGGCTTGCAATTGAGTGAGAGGAACACAGAATTTAGCTTTCTTAAAGATACTACATGTACGCACAGACAGTGCTTATAGGTCAAAATTGCTCGTCCGAGGGAGAATGAGAATGAGACTCTGTCACGTGCAACGTAGCAAAGTCCTTTTCTTTATTTTATTTTTATTTGTTTCTTTTCTTATGTTATTCTTTAAGCTATTAAGCTATTCATAAATTATAAGCTATTCATAAATTATAATTTTTGGGGGTTGGGATCGTTGTTTGCAGTTGTCCCGATTCTTTTTTTTTCTTCAATTTTGTTTCTTTCTTTTCCTTCTCCCAGTTGTTTTCTTTCAATGATTTCCGTTTTTCTGATATTACTTTTGTTCTGCAAAAAAGAGCTCTCAGATGCCAGCTAGTTTCTATTTTTCTCATTTTTCTGTTAGAACTTTCTTTTTTTTCTTTTCATTTATCCCAATCAAAAAATTTGATTCCGTTAACATGTGTTTGCCATTGTTCCTTTATTTGACTTAATCCCTTGTATTATAATGTGTTTTTTGTTTTCTTTGAGGGCAATTTGTTTTTTTTTTCTTCTTGCTCTTTCCCTTTTTACACCTCCCCTTCCGATGTATCTATTCATTTCTTCGCTTGCTTGCTTTCCTCAAATTAATTCAATTTTTTATCATTTAAATATTATTATTATTGCTCGTTTATTCCATTTGCTCTTTGTCTCACAGACCCTTCGCAGACGTGCTGAATATTGTTTGCATTCAATATCAATTTGTTTGCAAAATTCAAACTGAAAACAAAATGTAACAACAGCCTAGACATATCAAATGACTGGAAAAGACCAGTGGCTATCACTTGAACTTTGTGGTCAAAACCACCTAGTACGACTCCCTAGGGCATAATATCTTCGGTCACACAGATAAAATGCATTCTTGATTGGAGACATTTGGCGGAAATTTCAAATGCAATTAGACTCTCGCAAAACAAAAGACTCCAAAATCTACTCACCCATCCGTAGAGCTGTCAAAACAATRGCAAAAGTGACTAATACCCTCTCCTATAAGTAACATTAACAATAGAAATTATTCAACTTAACAGCAGGCCTACCCGGTAAGTAGGGTTTTTCGTAGTCGTTTTCAGACCTCTTTTGGGCTTTTCTTCAGCAGCTGCAGAAATAGCCCCATTTGCATGTATGAATGAAGGTCTGAAATTCTAGCGACGATAAAAAGGATTGAAAGGTCATTTTCCCAAAAGCAAGATAAATGCCCCCAAAAAWTAAAACAGCAGAAGAAAGCGAATTTGAACCAGAATGCAAGCGAAGCCGGCCCGACCTCGAAAACGAAGGTGATTTGAAAATCGCCGATGAGATCTCACCAAAAAAGGCAGACAATGGCTCGACCGAGGAGAATTCTGTTTCAGAACAGAACTCTAAAGCTGAATCAGGAAATAAGAAGGTTTGTTTGGTTCAGTGTATATGAATTAAAGTTATTATTTCAGGGGCATTTAGCTTGCGAGGTTATAGGATTTTGTTTTTGTGTGCCATGCTCTCGAAGCGCATTTTAGCGTGTCTKGATTTTAAAACCAACCGGCAATCAAGATTGTATGATTTGTACAAAAATCTTTCTCCAGGACGTGTTTTCACTTGTTGTGGCCATCCAGGGGTGTCCTACTTCTAGATAATCGGCCCTGAATCCTATTGGCGAGCTGAAAGTATGTTTGACTTTCAACCCATAGAACGTCTTCCCATATGTGATGTGCCCTTTGCCGGCCGTAGTGTACTAAAACTAGTATTCCACAATAAATTCTTCTAAGTATTTTTTTATATTCTTGGAGAAAGGATTTTTCTCTTAATGAGCTTTAACTCCGTCGGTAACGCAAATCAAAGTTTAATTATTCGCGGCATTTGAAAATTCTACAATTTTTATTTATGCAAAGTTAAGCTTAACACTTTATGTTTGGAAGTACAATTTTCCCTCGATTCGATGGATGTTTATAAAAATGTTTCATCTGTTATCGGAAAAAATTCCTTTTATCCTAATTATTGTGAATTCATTTGTGTCTAAGGAATGTGGTGGTAAAAGCAGCTTTACATAAATTCATAAGACGCAAATTGAGGAGCGGTATTTTTCGCGCAAACAAGCCAAAATTAGCAAAAAATGGGTTCAAGCTCGCTGACATTTCTGTCAAAAATATGTTTTGCTTAACACACAGTTCATGTTTATAAAAATAATACCCCAAATAACTCATTTTGACTTACAGTTGAGTATATTAGAGTGCTACTTTTGAATGACATTATATTATTCAATGAACATTTCAGAGGAACTCTTTTCCCATTTGTTAGTTTCTTTCATTTAATTTTTTTATAATTTCAAATGAGCATTTCCCATTTGAACAAATCATGAATTTACAAAAAATATTCTGGACTTTAAAATCTCTATTGTTTCCATGGTTTGAGAAAAGTAAAAAAAGAAAATTAACTTATATTTGTAAGTATAAATGCTATGCTCAAATGCTCTTTTTGTTTGGCATGTGGATGTTTTAGAGGGGAGGGAGTGGGGGAGTGCTTTCTCTCTCTCTGTAGAGTGAAGATTGCTTAAATGTGATAGTCAAATTGACACAAAAGCACAACAGAACTAGATAACAAGAGTTGTATCGGTGTAATAAATGTTTCTTGGATACTTGACGTCACTTTCTCTACTTAAAAACACTCATTTTTAAAACAAATTTGATGAACAGTGATATGTTTCTTAAAATATTGAACTTAGGTTTCCATGGCAGAACAGACAAAGGATGTTGAGGGTTGGTCTCCTACGGTGGTTGTAAATCATACTAACTCTAGTGATATTGATGTAGTAGTTTCTTTCTTTGTGTGTGTGCAGACAAAAGAAGAAAAGTGTGGTGCTTTATTGCTGTGTGGAGGGACTAACTGGGACTTAGCTGGGAGAAAAGAGTTGCCCAAATCAGCMAGTAAGTTGATTAATGAAAAAATTAATGAGGATTAAATGGACTATGTTGTGTATAGATAGAGGCTCTTTAAGTTTGTTCATTTAACCGACCAAATGAGTCAAGAATTTTATACTGAACTGCAAGAGTGTGTCATGTTATTGGAGGAAAAGAAATTATAGCACTTGATTCAGTGAGAAAGGATTTACAATTAATTAGCATTTATTATTTAAGGTATAACATGGCAGTCAAAGATATGGATTATAGATCTCCAAATAGTTTTTGAGATTTTCTGCACACAAGAAGATAAAATCCTTATCTCCAATTGACCATGTAATATTCTATTTATCATTAAAAATTATCTATGAAAGCACAGTATCTTGTAAAACAAATTCTTCCAATATATATAGAGGTACTGATTGACCTTTCACCACAAAAATAAAATAATTTTAAAGAAAATTTAATTTATATTAGATATTTTGACAAATGAATGGAGTATTTACCAGATATTGATGGCTTCTTTTCAGAAAATCTTGGTGGACCCAATTTATGGGAACCTCATGTCATTTCAACATTATCTGGCATWAGRATACGRCATGTTGCATCTGGTCCTTCYGCTTGTCATAGTGTGATTATTACCGAGAGTGGAACTGCTATGAGTTTTGGTTAGAAAATTGACTTTATTATATACTTCTTGATGTACCGACGGATCTTTTATTTAATCTATCTGTCCCTTCATCTTAATAGTCCACTTCGCGGATAACACAGCTATTAGAAATTGAGCAAATATCGCAAAACTATTACCACCACTGGAAAGAACAGTTTGAAATTAGTATGTTTACCAGGTTTGAGCATGATTCGATGAAAATTCAAGGAGATACAGCGTTTAAAAGTCGGCAAAATTTACAAAGAAATGTATGGCTGTCGGCATGAGATCGAGGTTGACCTTGACTTGTTACAACCTCGCCAAACATTTCTATGCAAAATTTAGTGTTTTTGAAGTGCCGTATCTCTTTGAATTTAAATCAGATTATTTTCAATTTTGGCAAATTTGCTGATTTTATGACGCTCTTTCYAGYGATGTCAATGATTTACCATAACGACGTAATGTAAAATTTCGAATTATCCGCGAAGTGGACTATTATCTACACATCGGTGTGTTTATTCAGTCAGTATTTCATCCATTCATGTTTTCATCCATTCATTTATTTGTTGATTTATTCAGTTATTTTTTTAATTTTTTTTTATTCACTCGTTTATTTGAATCATTTAGTATTTCATCCATCGTTGATTTGTTTATTCATTTATTCATACATAGATTTACTAATGTATCCTTCCTATCTTAATCCCATCTTGTATATAACACTAAAAAGCACAAAAGCTAAAATCTATGCATTAATTATTCCTTGTGTCTTCACAAAAACTAGCCCCAGGGCAACTCTGACAAAGGGATCCCAATAATATGAACGTACTTTCGTCATATCAACTCTGCGTTTCTTCTACTTCATTCCATTCTCATTTCCGTTATTACTCATTATTTCTCCATTTCTTTCCTCCTAATTTTTGCTTCTCATTTTCTTCTCCTCACTGATGTAATTGCCCTRTTTCATTATGACGTCACAGTATGTTTACATYRGAAAACGATGCTCAAAAACACTGGAAATTTAGACCCATTTATATTGTCTACTAAAGYAAAACTTCAATRAATCGTSTTTTGATAATGATTGCTCATGTTCATTTTATTTGATATGCAGTCACTCTGATCCCTTCTGGCRRCCATAATCCTTAGCGTTAAAACAATAGAATGTTWTGATGTGACGTCATAATGAACTAGGGCAATTGTTAATATTGTAGGCCGTAATGACAAAGGTCAACTAGGGCATGGTACCACTGACCGCTGTGATAAACCAAAAATTATTGAGAGATTGAAGTATTACAATATAACCCAGGCCAGTTGTGGAAAAGGTCACACTCTAGTTCTTACTGGTAAGTAAAAAAGACTAAGATTGTATCCAAGAATAGAGTGACAGTGGATAATTTTACCCCACCCTCTGCAGGGAGTTATTGGTTAGGGGGGAGGGGCAGGGGGTATTTGTCAAGTTACTTGTATGGTGGTAAATACAGGCCCTTTCTTTCTTAAAGTAGACTTAATAAGTAGAGGATATTACATGGGCACGCAGAGCTACGGATTTTATCTTCAAGTGTTGAAAAAATCGCTTGAGAGATGACATTCGTATCTCCAAGCAACCATGTGATATTCTGTTTATCATAGTAATTACATATGAAAGCAAATTATGTCATTAAATACCTTTTTCCTTACTTCCACTTTTTAAAGAAAGCTAAAATGTACTTCTAGTGAAAATATCAACTTTATGAAAATATGGAGAAATATAGGTATTATAATTATATGATAAAAGTACTTATTTGTGAGTATTTGGTATTTGGATTAGATGATGGAAGAGTGTTTGGCTTTGGTGAGAATAGACTTGCACAACTTGGACAAGGTCACCAAAAAGCTGTTTTACCCCACCCTATGCAGGTAAGAAACACAAAAATATATATTTAGCATTAYTCATTTCCCAATATGCTTCAAAAGTGCYGTCGCTGCTATGCCTTCTTATTTTGTAAATCAATTTTTATAACTGTTTTCTAATCTTCCATCAGGTTATGCATCCTAACAATAAAACAGTCATCAAAGTGGCCTGCGGTGCTGAATTTAGCATGTTCGTTGATGAAGAAAACAATCTCTTCTCATTTGGAAGTCCTGAACATGGCCAACTAGGTCACAACACAGATGGGCAGTACATTGTAGCATCAAATAAACTTGGTTATCAGTGTGAACTTCTACCAAGAAAGCTCAACGTTTTTGTTGAGCGGAATAGAGAGGGTTTTGTCAACGTTGTTGAAAATGTTAAAGTGGTTGACTTGGCCTGTGGAAACCATCACTCGGTGAGTTACAAAAATTAACATAAACATTAGGTTTTTGCTCCTAAAGGTAGAGTTAATGTTTAAAATTCCCTGCAACAATGTGATTACAACTTTGTTTTTCCTGATAATTACTTTATTGTTTTGCAATAGATGATTCGAGATAGCCAAGGGCGTGTCTTTACATGGGGGTTTGGTGGTTATGGCCGACTGGGGCACCAACAACCCAAAGATGAGCATGTACCTCGTCTGCTTGCATTCTTCAATAACAGAGGTAGCTAGTTGGTGGTGTTTAATTAATAACTGCTAGAGTGGTCACACTTAAACCATGCAACTGTACAAACTAGTTATATATAGAAAATCGTGCATGCAGTGAC